TATATATATACAAAGTTCTCATAATTCTTTTAAATCTTTTGAACTAATTTAACTAGGAAATATCAAAAACACAAGCTGTTTGTCTCCAAAAAAAAAAAATTTTCTAGTACTGATTAATTATTAGGTGCTTTTTCAATATTCTCCTTTAAGCAAATATAGCTACCTTAGTTCCGTGGATGACAAAAAGAAGTAATTTCTCCCACCAGGTGAAATATATGGAGGTCCACTCAGATTTCCAATAATATTTTTTTTGATACTTTTGGACAATTATAATATTAGGAGATCTTGTCTTGTCTGGAAAATCTACCATATCTAACAGTTTAAATTGTCTAATTTAGTGTAATTTAGACACTACAATACTTTTTTAGTATTTATTGATAATTAAGGCTTATTTTATAAATTAAGTTCTAAATTTAAATTTTAGAATAACAATGAAGGATATTAATTTTTTTTAAATGCATTAAGTAGTGTAAGGGTATGCCTTTTATATTACTTGAAGAACAATTAGTTTTAAGGTATATAAAAATTAATTTTAAAATATTTACTATTAAAAAAATTCAACAAATTTAATTTCCTACAACTGGACATACAATTTAATTTCCTAAGGACTCACATTCAGGGTCGGTGGAGCTGAGGATTTTATTATTATTATTTTTTTAACATGGGAATTTGGGGTTTGAAGGATTTTTTAAAATAATTGATGAGAGTCAAATTGTCATTGGTGGGAGTCAAATTTTTAAATAATTAAATTTAAGTATTAAAATTTAAAGATAAATCATTGAGTCAAAGGTAGTTATAGGATTCTAATTTTTCTTAGTTATTGGCCCACAGCTGGAATTAATGCCTCAAGAAATTTGCACCAAATCAATGTAAAAATGATTAAAATATTAATCTGATCCCTCAACTTTTAAATTTATATTAAAATTATCTCATAACTTTAAAAAATATTAAAATTATCTCTAAATTTTAATTTTAATACCAAAAAAGTCTTTCAATTAATAAAAATGCCACATAACTTATTATTTTACTACAAAATTAGTTTTTTTTTAAATACTAATGACATGTAAAATTGAATAGTCATATTTTATCATCGTGACATATTTTTATTTACATAATAGAATAATAAATAATTAAAGTTGAAAAACCAAATTGATATTTATAATCAAAGTTCAAGGATAAGTTGATACTTATCTTCAAAATT